TTTTCCCATCTCTGATATAAGGTGTCCTTTCATGTGCGTGCCGCAGACATGATCGCCTCCCCTCTCCTCTTGAAAAGCTCAGAGCGTGTTGGTTCAGTGCAGCTTGATTGGTTTGCAGTAGCTCATTTCTCAGCCGGGCTCTCGCAGGATGTTTGCAGCGTTCAGAGTTTCTGAGTCCGTTTGAGCCTCGTGTGCCTTCAGCCGCTGCTTCTGCAGGCTGCCCAGGAAATTGAAGCCTTCATTTTCCCCAAAGAGTAGGATTTTTTTGCTTCTTTTTTGTTAAACAATTGTCTGTCAGTTAAAATCACACCCTCCCCTGCAGACACACAGTCTACCACTGAAAACATTTTCTCTTTTAGCTCGTTAGGTTTGTAGGTTTGTTGTCTGTTACGCAGTTGTTTGTCTGTGAAGCGAGTCTGAGGATTTGTGGATGTTTTCCAGTTATTTGCTTGGGTTTCCTAACCCACATTTGACATCCAGCTAATAGCAAATTCTTTCAACAGTTACAAACATGCAGACACTCACACCTCAGTATTTTCCAAGGACTACTTTGATCACAAGAAATTGCAGTAAGAGAACATCTTGATTAAAAGGTCAAAAGACAAACTGCTTATTTGCAGAATCACACTGTTCCTTGAACTTTTAGCAGTAAACAGGATCAGATGTAATTTGACTTCCTATTTCAATATATAAATACACTAAAACTTGCTTTCACTCTGGTTGACTGCAGGGTAGGGTATCTCTGTGAGTTATTAACTACAAAAAAACACCTTTCACATTACACATCAATTTAAATCAATGTTACTATTGGACTTTCAGTATTCTTGCTGTTACCATAGTATCTGAGAGGATACGTTCCGTCCCTTCCCAGCTGGTGATCCACGATACTTATGTATTATGACAAACGGTGTTGATTTAAGCCAACAATGAATAATGTAACAGTAGAAAACAGTTGCTTTTTACTAGCTAAGAGCAATGAAAGGCAGGGGCATCCAACTAACTCTAATTTAGCGTAAACTAATCTGTGCTGTGGCTTGTGGGTCAGACATTGCTTCGTGGTGTTGGATGCATGAAGCTAGTTAGTAACGTAGACTCCAAATAAAATATAGAAACTTTGCAGATAGAACATTATAAACATTATTCCAAATATGACAGTAATTTATTTTCCTGTGTACAGTATAGTGTATGTCACCTTTGGCCGATGCCCAGGATGATGCTGGACCGTGTATGGAGTCTAAGATTGATGATTCTCTGAAAGTTACATATACATAAAGAAGTTAGTGGAAGAAGTTCAATGCTTTTGAGGCTAAATGATTGGTGTGAGTCTTCCCTTGGGAATACATGATGAAGAGAGATGACACATTTAGCATGCTTATTTGGTTTGAACTATGCTATATATGATGAAAGTAAATTGTCTCTAAACTCACATCAGTAGGCTACTCTGTGACTGCTGGACAGTTATATTCGACTAAACTAGTATCACACTGAGAATACATATATAATACAGCCACAGTAGCAGTCCTAAATTGTTGTGAATTGGTATAAATAAATTCACACAGGACAGGCACCTGCAGGAGAAAGCTTTCACTCTAAAATGAAACACCTGCTCATACAAAATATTCAGCAGCTAGAATACTTGAAGAAATTATCATAACTTTTTATGTAGCAGTGGGTCATTTAATATTTTGCATCTGTGTGGTTGTACTGGGACATTTATATTGGCAGTTGTTATTTTTATGTTTTTCTTATTAAAATGAGGCGTTCAACAATAGTCAAAAACACTTGAGAATGCAGCCTTTTTGCATTGTATTCAAGATATTAAATTATCTCAAGGGGGTTTTCTCCCTAAACTGATTTCCAAGCATTAGATTACTTGCAAAACCCATAAAAATCTTAAATAAACACATTCATTAGGAATTATTTTGTAAATTACTTGCTCGTTTTAGTCTCTTCAACTCTTCCCGCTTTAAGTGGTTTAATTTATTTTATTTCTGTGAAACAGTGAAAACGCAGTCGTCAGGAGGCGACGGCCCCACAGGCTGACAGCGGTCTATAAAATATAATACGTCACCGCCTGCCCTCACAGAGGCCACTCAGCGCTGCATGATAGTTTAAAGAGCGATGGCACAAACACAAGACAGCACTAACATGATAATTGTGAGTCAGAGGGAGCAACCGGCTTGGTGAAACTTTATTCGGACAGATGATACAGTTTTTAATTTCAGCCCTCAGCAGATCAGTGCCACCCTTCATTAACCCACCCTGACCTGCTCATTAATTCACATTCCTGCTCTAATTGGGCGGCGGTGTGTGTAATGGGCGCAGTATTCTTGTGCTCTCTGTGTAGAATAGAAAAGATATGATTAACAAATGTGACATCGGTAACAGTGTCATGCATTCATAGCTCAGTCTCTGTCAGCACTACATGTGGGGAATGAATTCTGTTTTCTGAAAAGATGAAAATGTAATTAAATTAAGGAGGAGGGGGTCAGCTTGCTCTCTGCATCAAGAGCAAGGATGTGCTCATATAGTGGCTTTAGTGGCTTGAGCCCTTTTGCCTTCTCTGACCGTGCCAAATGCTGCTGGTCCTATTATTGTTGTTGGGGCAGCTGCTGCAGTTTCTATAATAATTGTGAGAAAGTTCGATTTTAACAGGCCACGATTTTGTTGACTTTAGTGACTGCAATTTACTTGCTTCGGAACTTTTCTCCTTCTCTTCTTTCTCTCTATGTGAGTGAACAAAGAGAATGGAAGTTGCTTTTTGTATGTGAGTCACTGTGCAGTTATATTTGCCTGACACAAAGGTTAAATTAATGTTTTGTTCTTAATTGGTTCTGAATTAATTAATTAATGTAGAACCCACACAGAGGCTATTTATGTTTGTTTTCCATTGGCAGTGTGCTCTAGTAGCCTAGAACTGTAAATTAAAAATTGTTGTGAGTGTTCAAAACAATAAAAGAAACCTTATTTTATCAGGTTGCTCTGGATATCTTGGAGGGCATAGTCTCTACTGCACACTGTAGTAGACTAATTCATGTGGTTAGCAAGGGTTAGTTGTGGTTTGTATATTGTTTCTGATAACAAACTGGAAAAGTATGTTAATCCAATAATTTTGAAAAGGTTAAAAAAGAGGACTTTGTTTTGCCTTTCAGGCTGATTCTTATTGTAATTATTGTTTTCCAACAGACCCCATTATGCAATAGGCTCTTTTTTATTTACCCTCTTTCAATGAAATGCATTGCTATGAGCATCCTCTGCGATCTGATACTCTGACCGGACTCACATTCAATAACTATATTGCTAAAAGTATGTGGTTAACCCATGGCTTACATTACATATCGTCACATATGCAAATACACACACTGGCTGTTGCAAACATTCTCCCATTTCACACTCAATAAGTCTTAGATTTAAAGCGTTTTCATGAGTTGCCGTTAAGTAAAAGCTGCTGATTCGTCCACATTTTTTAAACCTCCATATGCTGCGTGGCTCCACTCCGCTGAGCCACTAATTCCTTCAACAGTAGTTTTCTTCCCAGACCTAAAAGGGGAATCATTAAAGACTCAGCCCAGGTGTGTCACCAGTGTTAATAACAGCACTGTACACTCACCTTGGATTTGCTGATGGAAAATGCTATGGCAGTCATCTCCATCTTACTACAGTACTGCGGTTGGTGTTGTCTCTCACCTGCGTCAAACTGCTTTCTGGGCTGTATTTATTAACAATAAATATATATATATATATATATATATATATATATATATATATATATATATATGTGGGGGTGGGGTCATCTGTCAGAACAAAAAAGAAACCCAAAATGATGAACTATTTTTTGAATTTCTATATTGATAGTCTAGAAATGGTTATCATTAAATTACAGAGTAGTATTAGATGGGTGATGTCAGATTATGGGAGACGGCTGAGGAGTTCTACCTCACTACATCATTTCTGCAAGTTTGTACTGTGCTCATGAATCTGTGCTAACACTGTATGCCTGCATTATACTGCATCATCTAGCATTCTTTTTTCACACCATGGCAGGAGTATCACTTTTAAATGTGTGTATATATATATATATATTGAACAGAGGAATGTAAATCTGTTTTTAACATTGACTGACAAAGTTCTTTATGAAGTTTCCAGAAGTCCTGTGTATGTTGATGTAAGCCATTAATGTAGCTCATTTATTGTTTAATGACATAATAACTTTTGACTCTGATCATAATTGCTGGAACTATTTTCAGACTGTCAGTGCAACAACATTCTTATAGTGTTTTTGTCTTGTCTAATGTTTAAGAGCTTTATTGATCGTATAATGGCGACAGCTTTCATCTGATTTACACTGAGGTCAATGTTTGGTTGATGCCATGATATGAAATGTTTATGTAACTCCCAGCACAGCTATCCACAGAATGGAATGAACTCTGGAGGAAAATCGTGACCCTGTTATAAGTTCACTGTTACTTTAGCTCCTCACATTTTTGTCATCAGTAATACTTCCTAATTACTAGAACTAAAACCCATGACATAACCAGAGAGCTTGGTTTGTTTTTCAGTAAATATTGTATAGCAGCATAAACACAATAGTGAAGTCAATACAGGTGATGAATTGGTTGTTAAGTTTTTTTAATATGCATTCGCTGGATGCAACTTTGCAAAACAACATTTAACATAAAAGACACAACAAAAGTCCACACAGCACAACTGAAACGAGGGCTCAAAAGTTGAAACGACCTCCAGAGCTCTGTGATGCTTAATTTTTTTGTGAAGGATTTTTAAAGAATTCTGCTGATCCGGTCCCTCGGTTCTTCTCGGTTCTGCCTTTTCCCTCTGCAATGAAAGTGATGACTGCTGGAGATCTATGCACTGATCCCACATCAGCACTCCCTAATTGGAGAAACTTGGGAAATAATAATATGGGCCTGGGAGGAGATGATCAGCTTAGAGGCGGCCCATCCTTCACATGCTGACCATATCTTTCTACCTCCTCATCTCAGGTGATTAGAGAAATCCCCCGGACCCTGTCAGAAACACCGAATCAGCACACTCATACACTGAGGTGAGTGTGCGTTTCAGTCTGTAATCTTTGCATGCATGTAGTTTGATGTGTGTGTGTTTCTTCCTATGCTGCATGTCTGCTTGAGTGTAACTGCACAATGCTATCCTAGTGGTGGAAGAGGTAATGAGATCTTTCACTTAAGAAATAGTGTCAAAACAGCAATTTAAGCATTCTTCATTACAAGCAAAGGTCATCTATTAAACTTTAATTTAAAGAAAAAGTAGATTGAAACTGTTCCAGAGTACAGTACCTAAGTAAATGTGTGAGTTACTTTCCACTACTGGTGATGCAATGTTAAGTGAAGCGGTGCAGAAAAGCACAGGTGCCTCTACTGAATTCAGGCCTACACAGCATCTGCTTCAGGGTGCGATGGGAGCCGGTCGCCTCCTTCTGTTGGCTCTGTTTTACCGGTGCGAACAAATACAAAGGCACAGAGCAGTCAGCTATATTCTGACACATAACGTCACGTTGCCAGAGCGGTTAAAGTGATTTCACAGGTGTTTCCAAAGGCAAGAAAACAGAAAATGACTTTATAAAATCAGATAGAAGCACAAATAAATGCTATGCCAGGAACAATAACAAATGGTGTCGTGTAACTACACTTGTCGACTGGTACATGTTTGGCTCACTTTGCTGCCAACTGACTATAAAATAAAAAAAGAATTACTTTGTTTGTTAGTAAGCATGTAGTGTGCATGTACTCAATCTTTGTATCAGCATCTCAGTGTTGCGGCTTTGCTTGAATGCTTATCTTTACTCCTGCTGTATAAAGTGAGAAAGCAAAACGCTGCTTAGATTATTTTCAGTCCGAGGACAAAGACACAGGTCAGGTTTGGGTCAGCTGAGACCTCAGTATATCTGAAGATTAGTTTCTGTCCTGAGGAGTCTGTGAATGTAGAGTGCAGAAGTCTCTTCTGTGTTCCCCATATCATCCACAAACACAGAGGCCAATATATATCCCAGGAGTTCACTGCATCATGCTGATGCATAATTTTCCTAGGTCTCTTCAAAATCTTGTTTGTGTCCATTCTCCCACTTTCAATATATATATATATATATATATATATATTTTTTTTTTTTTTTTTTATCACAAATATTGTTCTTATTACTCTACTGTTTGGCCAGCTGTCAGATTCTGGCTGAGAATGTGAAGTGAGCTGCTGATATACTCAGATGAGAAATGGACACAGACATCCTGCCGACGTGATCCTGTAGTACATTTTGGCGTACATGCACCAGCTGTAGACAAGGACATGTTTGGTGTGTACAGTAAATAGTATTTTCCTGATTACAAGTTTTTCTATTGTTAATTTAAAAATAATAATCCTTTCCTATAAAACACAACTGGCAGAAAACATTTGAAAATGAGCAATTGTATGATCCAAAACATACCTGTACACCTCTCCACATACAAAAGCAGGTAAAGACTGATTTTATGAGCGATATTCAAAGTCTGTTGTCACAAGTATGAGTTGAAATTTCAGTCATGGCAGCAACAACAACGGGATGAAACTGTCTTAATTGATTCCCGCTTTCAGAGCTGTTGCAGTAGCCCATTTTAACTGCCCAAGGTGTTTCACCTTAGCACAAAAAAACAAGACTGCCCTCAAGGGATCAACAAAATCAATAGGATTCGTCCTCTAAGGGAGGATGAATGTCTGTACAAAATTTCAAGGCAATTCATCAAATATTTGTAAGGATATTCAGTTTGTGCCAAAGTCGTGTACCAACCAATGTTTCTATCACTTAGCCACAGTAACAGCAGCATGTCTTAGTTCAAACAGCTTGAAACAACTTATGTTGACAGGGACAGAATTTGCAAATTGGTGTGTGTAAAGTGTGTGGCGGTTAAAAATAAATAAACATGTGGTTCCAAAGCAGGGAATAACATCAGGAGGACTGTGAGGAACTGTGAGGAACCTTTATCCAATTAGTCATTTGACAATCAATCTATTTTTTGTGCTTTAGATAGAAGAACTTGATCAGAATACACAGTGACCATGAGTAACCATGCCATGCATATGCAAAGTGTCAGCCAGGTGTTCACATTTGCATTTATATGTAGATTTAAGTTTTTTGTATTTTTAGTTAGTTAGTTTTTAGCAGGGTTTTTTTTGTTAACATTTGAGTTTAATGCAATTGAGATGATGTGCTCACATTTCTTTCCAAGTTTACTTTTCCCAAATTGTGGAAACATGCTTCCCTCCAGGGACTTAAATATTGACAAGTCACCCTTAGATGTAAAATTCACCTTGCATGTCTGTGTTTTTAAATGTGTGCATGAGTGCGCACACATGCCCTGGAGCATCCTTGTTTCTGTCCTTGTTTGTTTGAGCTTTATTCTTCAAGGAAGTTGACTGAACACTGTTTTTTCCAACAAGACCCTGCTTCATCGGTTTCCACACTTCTTAAAAGCATTCTGACAGTGACTGAATATGTATTTCACTTTTGGGATTGTGGGACTTTGGGATTAAATGCTTTGCTCACAGACACCTTGGAATAATTTGAAGAGGAGTGGAAAACGTGTGACTGTCTGGTGATAGCATGCTAATGATTCTGAAGAAAGGTACGGAGGAAGAGAAATACATGACATAAGAGGAGCAACATGTGTGGGACAGGTGAAAGAGACAGAGTAGAAGATATATACTTTTATTATTCTTTTTTTTAATTCTTACACACACACACACAGGCTGAAATGCACACTTCATGCAAAAGGTTTCCTTGGTCAAGTGCACCTCAGTAGTGCACAGAAGGTGTAACTAGCACCCCTCCAGCTACCAGTTCACACTCCATATTGTGGTCTGTGGGATTTGAACAGGCAACTCTCTGATTCCCAAGCCAAGTCCCTACACACTGAGCTAAAGGAAGGAAGAGAAAGTGGAGTTAAGAGCCAAAAAGACAAGAGAAAAAAAAGCATACCTTTTAAAGACAGGATACTGACTGACAGAAAGCATGTCTGCCTGAGGTCACTGATTACCAGGGAACACATGCTGAAGCACCGATTGCACCTCAGAGCAGGAGTTGCCAAAACAATTTCTGTGTGAGTTGTAGGTTGATGCATCAAACTGATGATTTTTATCCCCTCACAACCTGGAGTAAACAACTTTTCAGGATGTTTTGTGATGTTTCTCCAGCCTGGAAACCAGTACATTTCCTCAGAGGAGCTGGTGGGCAAATGCATCATCATATTAAAAAAAAAAAAGCTCATTAACTCAGCCTTGAACTCTTATTGAACTGACATAAGAAATGTATTTAGCATCTAATTTCACAAAATATTGCAGGTAACAGACTTTTTCTTTGACAGTTGTACCTTATATTGTATTAACCTTGTATTAACTGAACATATAAAACATATAAACTGTTAAAAAAAACCTACAGTGACGGTATGTATTCATTATAGTTTGTTGATGTTCCTTAAATATCTAAATATCTAAAACATTTCCCAAAAATGTACCTTGTCTTTAACGAAAATAATTCCATCAAGTCTTACCCCTAAAAGAGATGCAGAATCACTTTAGAATTGTACTTTCATAAAGTTGGGTGCAGTCAAAATCAAAACAGCAGCTGCCAGGATATTATGGCTTTTATCCCCTAGAATGGTCAGAAAATACTGGCTCCTACATTTAACCACAATACAATGCATGTCTTTCAAAGTCCATACTGCCTCTTAATTCGGCAGGCTTTCAGCTAAAAACGTTTTAGTCTACAAGCCCAAGCTGAGATACCTTGGTAATGTGATTCAAGTCATTTTTGGTTACAGGCCAAAACAATTGGTTGTTAAATATAGTTGTTCTCAATACAGGAGAAGTTGTGCCAACAACTACTTAGGATTTCACTTTTCATAGTGCATGATAAGAGGACTTGTCCATTTATACAATGACATCATGTATAGCTGTGAAAATTATGACAGGACAAGTTCTATATGTGACATGCTGTAAATTAAAGGACATCCTCATGGATCCAAATGTTTGGACTTCATCCAAAACCCACCTGAAACAGATGTGCATATATTAAAATAGACTGAAAGGCACCCATGGATGGTCAGACCCAGTCCAAAAGACACCTGAAAATAGAAAAAACTGTTAGAAAGTAAGGAGAATAAATAGAATAGTGTTAATAATATAAGTAAGTTATAAGAAAAATAGAAAGTCCCACTTTTTTACTGATGGACAACTGTGGCATTTGGTTACCCTCCCTAGGGGGATATGTTTTAAAAGAATAATACAAAAAAAAAAACATTCACAAAGTGGTTACTATAAGTAGTTTGGAGAGGAGTTAGTAGAGAGCTATTATAGTTAAGCTTCATGAAATCCCAATTCTGTTTTTGACAGTATAATTTTGAAGAAAGACAGTGATTTTACTGCACGATAGAGTCTGGTGGAAAAGAGCAGCGAGAGATGAAAAGATGTGAGTTGGAGGGGAGAGGCTGACAACAGAAGAGATTCAGAAGAGTGAGGAGGGGAGATAAGTTAAGAAGTTGGCTGAGAGAGGGAGAGGGGGAGGATGGATGAATGGTGGCGTAGAGAAAAAAAGAGATTAAAATGTGTAGAGGGGAGAGGCAGAGGTGGGCAGGCAGAGGAGGATAAAGTGGAGAGGGGCATATGACGGCCTGGCAGGTCTCCAAAGGCTCCCGGCGGCGATCCAGCTGCTTCTGAAGGCCACTTCGAAAAGCCTGTTAGTAGTGCCAACAATACATGGAGGAAAGCAGAGGGCCTGAGAACGAGGGGGAGAACAGGTGAGAGTGAAATATGCAGAGAGAGAGATTGCAGTGCAAAAAAGAGATACTGGACACAAGGGGGTGCAGGGAAATGTTGTTCCCAAGAAGAAGCCAACAAAGGAGAACAAAAACAAAGACATGAGCTCCAAATTCTCACTGTCTCCACTCCTGTAACAAACACATAAAATACTGAATAATTTAAAGCAACAAAATGGTTCATTTTGGTTGTTCAGCTGGGAAAAGCTCAACTTGCAGGAATGAGCATTTTGTGTAGACCTCATCA